TAGGTATCCCTCTAATCTGTGGACCAGTGTGGCTTCTTTCCACAGTGCCTAGGAAGGTGAGTTTAACTTCTGCTAACATCTACTACCTTTTGTGCTTATTCAGGGGTTTTCACGAAATCTGTTCTAAGGCTGTTAAGAAAGACTTGAAAATGGCCCTGCTACCAAAAGCAATATGCATATTCAGCGCAAGCCCCATCAAAATAGCAATGACATTCTTCACAGAATTAGAAAAAAATAGTCTTAAAATTCCTTTGGAAGAATAAAATACCCAGGATACCAAAGCAATTCTATGCCCAAAATGCAATGTTGGAAGTGTCACCATATCTGACTTCAAAGTACACCACAGAGCTATAGTAACAAAAACTTCATGGTATTGGCATAGAAACAGACACATAGACCGGTGGTACAGAACAGAAGACATAGAGACAAACCCACACATCTACAGTCATCTGGACCTTGACAAAGGTGCCAAAGACGACCTTTTAAACAAATGGTGCAAGAAAACTGGTTATCCTTATAGAAGCAAATGAGACTAGATCCTTATCTCTTACTGCACAAAAGTCAACTCAAAATGGATCAAAGGCCTAGGAATTAGACCAGAAACTATGCAATTCCTAGAAAAAATATAGGGTCAACACTCCCGACCTGTCAGGCAATGACTTTTTCAACAGGACTTAATAAATAATGCTAAGAGTTAATAAATGAGATGGTATCAAATTAAAAAGCTTCTGCCAAGCAAAGGAAACAAGAGTGTCAAGAGAGCACTTACAGAATGAGAAAAAAATTTTGATAGGTAATCTCTGACAGAGAATTAATATCCAGAATATATAAAGAATTAAGCTGGGTGTGGTGGTACACACCTGTCTATAATCTCAGCAGCTCAGGAGGCTGAGGCAGGATAACTGTGAGTTCAAAGCCAGCCTCAGCAATTTAGGGAGGCCCTAAGCAACTCAGAGAGACCCTGTCTCTAAATAAAATATTAAAAAGGGCTGGGGTTTATGGGTCAGTGGTTAGATTTCCTTGGTTTCAATTCCTGGGACAAATAAACTAACAAAAAAAACACAATTAACAAATGGACAAATGAACTAAAAAGACATTTCTCAAAAAAAGAAATAAAAATGGCCAACAAATATATGAAAAATAATGTTCAAAATAAAAAAAAAATGCTCAAGGACACTTAAAAAATGTTCCACATCATTAGCAATTAGGGAAATGCAAATCAAAACTACACAGATTTTTATCTTATTATAATTATAATGGCAACCATCAAGAATACAAACATCATAATAATAAATACTGGACAGAATGTGGATAAAAAATGGAACACTTTTACACTATTGGTGGGATAGTAAATTAATATAACCACTATGGAAATTAATATGAAGGTTCCTCAAAAATCTAGGCATAGGGTGGCTACTGTGACATACAGCACAGCAGAACATAAACCCAGGGAGGACAAAGACCTTTGTTTAAATACTGATGTATTTGAACCTTCTAAAATAGTGCCTGCATTTGAATGTGATAGGTGCTCAATAAATCACTGTTAAACAGTTACATTCTAAGGGTTCTTACATGTGAATTATAAGAGACTGCTACTTTCTTCTTTATGTACCCCTGTTCCATTTTGATTTTTTAAGAAGCATATAATTTAAGCATGAAGAAAAAATAAAGACATCTGACATGCACGCCACCCCTGTAAAGAAAAAAAAAACTGTAGCAACCGAAATTTCATAATACGCTCATAAAAACACATATGTAAATTAATAAAACAAAACAGAAATCTCAGAAATAAATGCACATATTTATAACTCAAAAAATGTAGGCTTGAAATCATCATATGACCCAGTTATATCCCTCCTCAGTATTTTCCTAAAGAATTAAAGTCATCATACTATAGTGGCCCATGCTATACTAGCACAATTCACAATAGCCAAACTATGGAACCAGCCTAGTTGACCATCAATAGATAAATGGATATATGGTATACTCTATGTGGTTTACATACACAACAAAGTTTTACTGCATCATGAGAAAGAATGAAATTATGTCATTGGCAGGAAAATGGATGGAACTTGAAACCATTATATTAAGTGAAATAAGCCAAACTCTGAAGGTCAAGGGCTATATAGTTTCTCTCAAATGTGAAAGCCAGAGAGGAAAAAGACAAAGAAAGGTTGAGGAGTGGGTCTCGAGAGATTTGAAGGAAGATCAGTAGAGAGGAGGAAGGGAAGAGGGAGGGGGACAGGGAGGAGAGGAGGGCAAAAAAAAACTATTGAGGAATGATATTGGCCAAATTATATAGTTCAATTGTGTGCATGTACAGATATATAACTACAAATCCCGCCACTCTGGACATCTGTAATTCACCAAAAAAAAAAAAAAAAAAAAAAAAAAAAACCTGGAAGAAAAGGAAAAGAACTGGCAAATACATCACTCAAGAACATGAAATATAATTATTTAATTCATGTAGTTCACTTTGCTTTCCTGTAGCATGAGAGGAATAACAAATGAGATTTTTAAAATATCTGAATCATAAATTAGATTCATGTTCCTCTCTTAAATGGAATGTTATATTTAGAGACAGATACACAACTAAATATTAAAATATGCATTTCAGAGAAAGTTTGCCTCAGCTGCAGCTCATTCACTGGTATGCACCTCCCCTTCTTCCCTTTCTTGTCCTCCTCTTCTCCCTTCTTTTCTTTCTCACATAGTTCAATTCAGTGTTCCAAGAATATCTAGGATGTAAGGGTAATCTGGCTGGAACATCTGTCACACCATTGATGGCCAGGGTTGATCCGGCTGATCTGGCTGGCTAGGCGGTATCCCCTTCCCCCCTCACATCCCCATGTGCATCCCTCCTGACGCTGCACTCTTGGTTGAAGAGGAGTGTTCTTCCATCAAGGGTAGACTAGTAGCTGTGCTCTCCTGCTAAAACCTCCAAACAAGCTCTTAAGATCCAAGAACATCTAAATTTCTTGTACAGAAAAGAACACGAGTATGCTACCAGGAGTAACACTCACAACATGAAGAGCTCCCACACCCTGGCTCCAGTACTATGGGAGCTGTCAATCCTCAGAGAACGGGAATCTACCTATCACTTCAGAAAAGTCATTGCTTTCTGAGGCAAGAATAACTGTGATGTCTCTAAGTCTCAATTCTGAGTCTTTTCAGCCTAGTCCCAAACCCACGTCCAACATTTTCCTGGCTATCCACTTATGGCCCTATTCCTCTCTTGGTTACAACTTGGCCATTATTTCATCAGTGTCTGCACCAGTCGGCATCAGGAGCCACCACCTCTGTTTCTAACTCTATGGCCCTGTCCTCAGGTCTCAGATCTCTTAGTCTGCAGTTCCTTCTCACCTACTCCTGCCTCGTGACAGTGACAGCTCTGTCTGCCCATGTCTAGCAGCACTCAGACCTTGCAGTTCTAGCAAGAATTGATTCTTTGGGTTATAATGGCTGCCTTTTTTCTGGAGGGCAATATTTTTTTAAAATTACCTGGGTAGTCATCTTACCATGGAGTATAATGGGCTCCATGGACTCCTGTTATGTCAGGGAGACAAGGACACACAGCAAAGAAGTGAACCTCCACTTGAAGGGAGGGAACATGTTACAGAGCACTGGAAGATTCTCCAGAGAGATGTGTGGAAAGGGCTCCTTTAATCCAAGAAGAGTTCTCCAGTGTATTCTGGCAAGAGAAGACTGTTCCCTCCCAGTTAAGAATTTAATAACAATCACTGAGAACTTATAACTCTATAAATTCATACATGTGTTGAAGCCATACTTACAAGAAATAAGCAACATGGAACTTTGGTTTAAAAAAAAAAACAGCTGTCTTCTCTGGTGGGAAGCAAAGCCACATCTGCTCTGTTCTAAAGGGTGGTGTCCTTGAAGGCAGGCTTAGGATGCGGCTGCTGTGTGCACCTGTGGATGGAGGCAGGGAGGGAAACCCCAAGACCAACAGTGGAACACACTAGGAAGCCCTTTAATAAGTACAGCTGAACAACCTCTGGGGTCATTTGCTATTTTTAGTGCTATTGGATGTGTGGTCCAGTTTCCTTGCATTTAAAATCAGGATAATAATAGCGCTATGTTATTTAAGGTTGGTGTGAGCATTAAAGGGTTTGGTTATCTATAAAACAGTGCTGCTACATAGTAAGCATTTTCTATATATGAATATTATAATTATAATAATTAGCATTACCAACATTCAGAGTTAGATCATCTACATGTAATATTGTATCTATTCAGGTGACTCTGTGAGTTTGTCTTACAGTTCCTCTCTCTGGGATAGGGTCAGGGGAAACCATGAGCAGAAATGCACCAAAATTATAGAAAATGGCACTATAATAGAACAGGGCCAGCTCTATGTGACTTGAATGGGGAGAGTATAGCAAAACACTAAACCTTAAACAAGTAATTGGCCCACCTGTATGATATTGGCACTCAGACATGCTGTTTAAATTCTGAATAGATCCTTGAGTTGTGCCAGACTAGGAGTGTGCCATGTGTAATCTTAGCTGGAGAGAAAATGCCAAGGGGCTTCAGCTCAGCTCTGTGTAAGAGAACCTAGGTTTTCCCCCAAGAGGCATAGTTCTGAGGGTCAGTTGCAGGGTTTTCAGGGAGCCCCCCAGCAGCTAAAGTCCAGGCAGATTTAGATACCAAGCCATATGGCCAAAAGTCTTCCTTGTCATCCCAGATTGTTTTAATAAAGGAACTCATACATTTGGCCCTAAGACATATTAAAGATCACCCATGGATTAGTCAGGACTTTTCTAGGGAAACAGAAGCAATAGGAGATATGGAGAAAGATTTAAAGAAATTGGCTCAAATGGGCTGGGGTTGTGGCTGAGTGGTGGAGCGCTTGCCTTGGATATGTGAAGCACTGGGTTTGATTCTCAGCATGGCATAGAGATAAATGAATAAAATAAAGGTCTTTCAACAACTAAAAAAATATATTTAAAATAAAATAAATAAACAAATAGAAATTGGCTCACATGATTTTGGAGGCTGTCAAGTCCAAAATCTGCAGGGTAGGCTGCCAGGATGGAGACCTAGGGAAAAGTTGATGTTACAGTTAAGTCCAAAAGCTGTCTGCTAGAAGAATTTCCCCTTCTTTCAGGAAAGCCAGTCTTTTTTTTGTTAATAAATATCTTCAGCTGATTAGACAAGGACCACTCATATCATGGAAGGTCATCTGCTTTAGTTGAGGTCTGCTGATTTAAATATTAATCTCATCTAAAAAATATTTTCACAGAAACATCTAGAATATTGTTCAACCAAATATCTGGGGATCATTGCTTAGCTGATTGACACATGAAATTAACAATCATATGCTGCCACAAATAAAAGATAGCCCTTGCACCCCAACACCCAGAGTTGAGTCTCTAGAAATGATCTCAGGCAAAAAGCTGAAGAAGCTCCTGTCTTTGTCCTATTGATAGGGTGGCAATGTTCTATAACAATCTGACTTCCTAAACCATATGTGCATTTCAAAGTGGGGACTTTGGTGTTTCAACTCAAGACACTACACTAAAAAAGGCAGAAAGAGGGGCTGGGGATATAACTCAGTAGAGTTCTTGCCTTGCACACACACATAGGCCTGGGTTCAATCCTCAGCAGCACAAACAAAACAAAACAAAACAAAAATAAGGCAGAAAGAGCTTGGCAAAAATGTCAGTTCAGAATATTAATAAGGGAAAATTTTCATTTAATCAGTAAACTAATTTCTGAGTAGATGTAGCTCTTTACTATTTTAAATTTCCTGTGAACTGGGCCTAGTTTGGTGCTATATGCTGCTCACTTACTAACCTGGTTAGTTCTGTGTTTAAGAAAAAAGGACAGTTTGGCTCTGGCACATGTCCAGTCTGCTAATACCAATCAAATAGGCCCTTGAATGAGTGGAAATTATACTGGAAGAATGAGGATATCATGCATTGGCTTCTTGCTTACAGAGGACATAGACAGGCAAAGTGCATAGCAAAATATCTTGTATATATATTCAAAAGTTGAGTGTACCAAATCAAAGTAGTTTCTAGTGAGTTCTTTCATTGCTTTATCTTAATAAATAGGTAATTTATTGATAAAAGGCTTATCTAGGAGTTGCCAAGATTTCAATTTCTCTAATAGAGAAGTCCCCCAGTGGAAGATTATGGTTTTATTCAAAATCTAAAATATTAATGCATTCAACTATACAGCACTTTGCTTCTCAGTGCAGCAATAAAGGTTTCCTATGCCTGAGCAGTTGTCAGTTAAGCTTCAAGGAGAGCATATACAGACTGTGGGCTGGCTTCCTGACAAAAAAAATGTCAAAGTTTCCTAATGAAGATAAAACCATTTTCATCTTTTAGAGTAAGCACTCTCCAAATGCCCAACCATACATTCTTAAGATGTTGAAATATATTCCCTTTCATTCCTTATGAAGTAAACAGAGACGTGTATAAGCTGATAAGGAGTTGTCTCTGGTCCTCAGAGGTAGGAACACACAAGGATAATGCTGCAAATCATGTTGTCAAGTCCAAGGATGTTGAAGGCAGCAGAGAGTCATGGCTTCCATCCCTGTGTTATGGGATCATTTTGCAGGAAAATGACCACCTTTTACTGCTGAGCAGGATCTCTCAACCTATGTGAAAGGGGATAGCAAAGCAGTGACTGCCTGAAGCCAAACCTGGCTTTATCACTACATAACACCCAAAGAAAGAACCATGATCCTGGAAGGAAGCAAGAAGGATATTCGGTACCTGCCATAATTCTCCATGTTCTTTACATTCTAGTTTGTGGGGTTTTTTTTATATTTCTTTGACTTTTTATTTAATTGTATTCATAGCAAATTGTATATGTTTATCTTTTTTTCAAACCAAAGTCAATTTTATTTAAAGAACTGCAATATTCTTGAAATTTTGGGAAACAACTTGGAGGTGTCCTACAGTGTTGACTGGGAACCATTGTTTTAGTCCAGGAATGAGTTGCTTATTGACATTTGTACATATCTACTGAAATAGGTTTCCTATTGCTATTTTATATATATAGTTATTATAGTTTGAGTATGAAGTGACTCCCAAAGACTTTTGTGTTAAAGGCTTTGTCCCCAATGCATCCATGTTCAGAGATGGGTTTTTAGGAAATGATTAGATCATGAGAGTTCCAGCCTCATTAGTGGATTAATCCATTTGATGTATTCATGATTTGAATGGACTATTGAGAATTAGTGAAAACTGTAGGAGGTACAATGTAATTGAGAAGGTAGGGTATGTCCTGTGGGTTGATTTAATGGTGGTATGTATCAAGTACTGATGAGCTTTGGGGTACCTCCTACTTACCCTATGCAACACTTAATTCTCACAAAGTATATTCCAGGAAACATTAAGTCCTCAAGAGTCAGAGTGGCCTGGGTCACACAGTGGAGGGTATTCTGAGATTAATTTAATTTGAAGAGCCAATGATTAAACAAAGTTTAATTGGTCTCTATTGCAGGACTTCCTGGCATTCTTAATATGCTCATAAAGGAGGCCATTTGTGTGTATAAGCTATGTGTTTTGTGTGTATTATGTGTCTGTATGTGAGTGTAAGTTATGTTATGTGACTGTGTATGTTGTGAATGTGTTATATTGAAGAACGGGTGTTTTTCAGGGTATATACAGAATGTAAAAGGCAAGTCTTATTTAACTTTTCCAATGTAATTCTTAAGCTATGTTTTTGTTTTCTGCATTAAAAAAATCAGTGTATTAAGACCAGATGAAACAGTTCCTTACAGCTATTTTTCTTAGAATTTTAGCTAAGCTTGTATAAGAGAAACCTCTACTACATAAATACAAATTCCTATCAAGAATGTAATCAACTTGAAAAGTATTCAGCTAGAAACCAAATATATTATGCCTCAATGCAAATAATACAACAAAACACTAGTTTCCAGAAAATATTCAGAGAAAATAAAGCACTAATGAAAGAATAGCAATCATACTTCAAATATTAGTGCCATACACAAAATAAATTGCAAAAGAATAACATTGCAATATAAATGCAGAGCATCAACTCAGATATTTGCTCGCTTCACCACAGTTCAAACACTGACATTGCAACCATTCCTAAAATCTCAAGGATTCGTGAGAAAATTTCCAGCCTTTAAGTATGTAAATGATGTTAACATTGAATCGAAAATCTTTCTTTTCCTTTCCTGGCACCTCTTTATTTCATGTGAACTTACAATTTTCTTTCCAGCCATTCTCATGCTCTAACAATACCTGAGCAGGGAGCAGCATTTAGGGGCAAACCATAACCACCTTATTTACCTACAGAAGTCACCCCATGTCTATTTACCATCAGTTAACTAATGTAATTCCAAATCTGACAGTCTAACAAGATTCAGCAATCCATTTCTAATATTTCAAAGCTAATGGAAATTACATTAACTATAACACTAAATGGCTTTGCTTTTAGCCAAATTACATTAACTATAATTATCCAATTATTAAGAATATCTCAAGTGAATCAGAAGCTCTATGTAGCTGATGATCTAGAAATGATGAAAAAATGAATTATACTTGATAAATCCAAATAATATGATGGGCAAAAATCTTCAAAACCTGGGATACATGGAGAAAAAATACAATGAAATGTTTAGAATTTGGGAGCTAAAAATGTCCAGTTTCTGACAGCAATGGAAGACATTTACTGAGAACTGACTATGGGTTGGATCACATCCCATGCTAAATGACTTACACATGTTATTTCATTCAATCCTCCTCACCCTAAAACAGTATCACTTTTATTCCTATTTTACAGTTGAGGTAAAAGGCTCAGGGAGGTTAAGTAATTTGTCATGGTTAAATAGTTAATAAGTAGCAAACCTGAGATTTATACCCACCCTCCCACATTCCACCCTGATAAGGAAATTATACTAAATTTCTGTCACTATATAACAAATTACCAAGAATTTAATGATTTAAAACAACATCCATTTATCATGTCACAGTTTCTGTAGTCAGCAGACAAGGTATGGCTTGACTGGATCTTCTGCAAGGTCTTGTAAAGGTCAATCCAGGTGTTGGCCCAGCTGTTTTACCTTCTGGAACACACCACGTGCACACAGGTTTAGTAGAATTCACTTCCTTGCGGCTACAGAACTAAGGTTCCCATTTTCTCACTGGGTATCAGAGATTTTGCTATGTGATAGCTTATCATTTCAAGTCCAGAAGGAGAAGCCTCCTCTCTAGTCTCCTACAATGGAGTCTTATATAACAATAACCTGACAATGGGGGTAACTATCTATATTCTATTTGCTAAGAACGACTCACAGGCTCCACCAACATTCAATAGGAGGTGACTTGTTACAAGGGTGTGACTCACTGGAGATCAAAATTGTGCCTTCTACAAGTACTAAAGACCTGTTCAAGATTTTCTTACATAATATATGACTATTATCTTTTGTACAGGGGTCAATACTACACAGGGAACATCAAAACATTCAGGTGGGCCATAACATGTGTGTCCTGCAACGACAGAAGTTAAATGATAAATTAAAGTAACACGGGTCCCCAAATTCTGTAAATCTCAGGAATTTTGTGCCTACAATAAACCTGCAATATTAGTGTTGAATAACTTGATATCAATGTTAGATGCCCAGTAAATAAAGAGTGTTACTTAGCACTTGACATTAAAGATCAATTTGCTAGAGGCCAAGTCTCTATTCATGAACTTGGCTTAAAATAAGGAAGGAGCATTGAAGTACTGAGTTTTTCTAACTGGAATCAAATAAATCACTGAGCACCATTTTATGATGGTACCCCACATTGAAATGAACTCCAAAAAAAGGTTTTATGACAACTGCTTTAACACAAATAATCCAATTGAAAAATGGGGGAAGAGCCTGAACAGACATTTCTTAAAAGAGGATATACAAATGACCAACAGGCATATGAAAAATTGTTCAATATTACTAATAATTCAGGAAATGAAAATCAAACTGAGATATCATCTCATTCTATTTAGAATGGCTATTATCAAAAAGTGTATGAAAAATTGTGCTCTATATGTGTAATAAGAAATGTAATGCATTCTGCTGACATTTATTTTAAAAAATCAATAAAACATTTTTTTTTAAAGTGAAATAACAAATGCTGGAAAGGATATGGAGAGA